AAAAAGTTATTTAACATATTAAATGCAATCTCTCTCTCTCTCTCTCTCTCTCTCTCTCGTTATAATTATAATAATCATTAATTAATGAACTAATTCATTGCACACACAAAATAGGAGTGCATTTCTGTTTTTAATCGCTTATTCTTTTATATATTTATCATAAAAAAATAGTAATTTGTTTTAACACTAGAATACACTTAAATTTTTTAATACACATAACATATCTTATATAATGAACATAATATAAAACAAAAATAATAAACTAATTATTACACTATCAGTATGAGAGAGGGTTAGAGTAGAGATAATTGGGTCATTACTGTTAGTTTTACTGTCATCATTTTTTTTGTTGCAGTAATAAAATGAGATTTAAAATCAATAATTATTAAATAATTAAATATTTTATCACTTTTGTTGTATAAAAATGAAAGTGTTTTCTACTATCAGTATTGAAAAAATTGAAGTCAATGTCTAGCGTTTTATTAAACATACGATATTATGTCAGATAATTGTTATTTATATCCAAATACATCCCATTATAATCGGTCCGGAAACGCATCACAATTGCTATTTTATAGCATACAATATACACAACATTGATATACAAGTAGTATATCATTGAGAAATAAAATACAAATACATATACACATGTAGTTATTAAATAATGATTGAATATTTAGGCAAAAAGTTTTAAAACAATGTCATTAAAGTAATTGTAATTGAATGTAATAAAGCACTGACCAAAGTGAGGACGTGGGTGTTGGACAGGCGGGCCTTTCAAATGATTATGATGAAGACCGGCAAAGATAAAAATCAACAATATAGACAGTTTCTACAAAGGTGAGTTTGTGTCTTATAGAATGACATACATTCAATACATGTCTGTTCATTACGTTATTATTATATAGGATTTGTCGAGTTTTTAAAATTTTAATTGGTTTGTAAAATTATGGTGATGAAATCATTATAGTAAATCTTCTACTTTTATAACTACTTTGATAAATATTGCGAAACACTGAAAATTGTTTTTCAAAAACCGTTTTAAAACTTTATTAACAAGCATTTTATTTAAGCCTATTTTCTGTTAATAATTACTAATTAGTGAATTTAATTTGTAATTATAATAAACCTTTTAATAATAAATAAGTCCCTTTAAAAAAATCATCTATAAGTTATAAATCATAACAATTGAATAGCACAACAAAACTTAGATTTGATCTAAATTTTTATAAAACTTATATAAATTTAAGTAAAACTAAACATTTTGTTAATTAACAGTAAAATTAAATAAAAATATTTTCCACTCATTTAGTGTACCATTGCTTCAGAATCTGAACGAAGAGCTGATCGGACGGATCGCCGACGCTATAGAAGTGGTAATTAAAAAACACAAACTAATTAAAACACAATCAAAACTAGATCCAAAAAAATTAACCAACCTGAAACTCGCCCACAAAAACCATTAGGATTACTACCCGGCGGGTGACTACATCTGCCGACAGGGCTGTTCGGGCGACTCATTCTACATTATCTCTTCGGGTTCAGTGAAAGTAACGCAACACAACTTTGTGGGCGAAGAGACCCTCCGGACCCTTAAGACTGGCGACTATTTCGGCGAACAGGCATTACTGGTCACAAGCAGTTCAGCTCTGCGGACAGCCAACGTTGTGTCCCTGGACTGCGAGTGTCTAGTGTTGGACAGAACTAACTTTCACTCACTTATTGGCGATCTCAACGAACTCAAGTGAGAGACACCACTATTACTACTTAAACACACCATCATTGCCATCATTACTACTTTTCACTGATTGATTGTTGTTTTGACCTAGAATGTATTTGTGACCAATAATAGAGTTGAGTGGTTAGAGTTAAGCATGTTTCTAAAAAAGAGGTTAGAATATTTAAGGAATTGAATTTTGGACAATATGATTTATAATTTATTTAAGAGTTATAAAATTTAATTTCCTATATTATTACATAATTGTAAAGTCTTATTATTAATGGGATTAAGTTTTTTTTGTAAACATAAATGTTGATGACATTTGTTTCAAATAACAAGTAATTTATTAAATATTATTTTAAATTTAAAATTCTATTAAAATTCTACAATTTTTTTCATTAGTTAAGAGAGAGAGAGAGAGAGAGAGAGAGAGAGAGA